AACCTCCGGAGTTTGTGTTCTTGCTGATTGATTTTGCACTGTCCATTCACTTTTTCTCCAACACTTCCCCTTTCAATTATGTTGCTCTTTTAGGAGTGGGGTGTCTGAACCCCAGCTTCCAGAATATTTATCAACCTGCTTGTAAATGAACTGGTGTGACCTAACTATTTAACTAATTAATCATTCCTGCCTAATAGCAGTTTTTTGCTAGTTTTTTTTCTGGAAATATTTGTATGTGATAGATTCAAATAGAAATTAAATATTAGGAAAGCATATGCTATGTAAGTTTCACATAGAATAAGAACAAGTAAAAATATTTTGAGTGAAGAAATTACTTTTTTCTTATATTCTAATTCTAGCTTTTTTCTTACCTCTTCTCTCCTTCAGTCTCCTCTTCATTTCCTCACTTCAAAACTACAGTAAGTGTTGGGAACTGATGGAGAAACTGCAGTTGATTAGGTCAGGCTGGGAAAACAGAATTGCTGCTGTAATATTATGATTGGTCAGGTGATCTGTTTACAAGAATGTATCAGTTCTGTTATTTAAACCTACTGAGGTCCAACTTTTCCTGTTTTCATCATGTGTGATGCCTTATGCTCCAGACATTACACTTCTAATCAAAAGGTTTCCGAGTTGGATTACAGTTGTTGTAAACTTCAGGCTTTGGTTTTATGCCAGCCTGTTCCCTTTACTGGTGTGAGATAGTTGATGACTTTTTTGTTAAGACATCTCCTTTACCAGCTTCATATTTTATGCCCTATGCTTGGAACACCTTAACAGTTAATGTTCGCCAAACAAAATTCCTTCTTCCAAAACACTTCAAGCAAATCCAACTTTGTGTGGAATATTCCAGTTGTAAAGGCAATTTTCTATTCTATGTTTGTTGTAACCTGCTTGTTACTTGATTATAATCTCTTCTGATTAGGGATTCTTTTCTTTGTTTGGCATACTTTATTACACAGCAGTGTGTCCCTCTGTGGTGTTACGTAAAATGTTCTTTAGAAATTTCCAAGTTTTGTTGTAATTTAAAAGTTATCTAGAGTCATTTCTAATCTAGAAAGTCCAGTGTAGATCTAGTATCTTTCACTGAAATTGCACCATCAACTGAGAATAAGAGGAACTGCTGCATTATGAAGGATGCTAGGATGTATTTATATGGTGACTAATGGATTACCAGACTTGGAATTTGTGAAAATAAACTAATATCCACTTTGATTTCTGAATAATATCCAAACCGTAGGGGCACTGTGACTGCATAGAGTCGGAGTTCTTTCTTAGTGGCCAGCATGTTTCTTACCCTCAGTCCCATGGAAACAGTTTTGTGGGGGTTTGTATCTGAGGAATTTGGGTCAGTGAGTGGCCTGGTTGGAAATGTGGGGATAGTAGAACTATTTGGGCTGCACTGCATTACCCCTTTACCCACCCAAATTCATGAGGGGGACTGGGCGCCTCTAGGCACTGCAATAATACAGGCAAATAAATACAGTAACTCCTCACTTAACGTCCTCCCGCTTAACGTTGTTTCAAAGTTACATCACTGCTCAATGAGGGAACATGCTTGTTTAAAGTTGTGCAATGCTCCCTTATAACGTCTGTCTGGCTGCCTGCTCTGTCTGCTGCTTGTAAGATTCTGTGGGAGAGCAGCGACTTTACAAAGGAGCATTGCACAAGTTCCTCTTCTCCGCCTCCTCCCCCTCCCTGCGCCTTCCCCCTCCCTCCCAGAGCTGGGAAGCTCCGCGTCTCCGCTCCTTCCCCTCCCTCCCAGAAAGTCCAAAGTGCTGCCAAACAGCTATTTGGTGGCAGGGAAGCGCTGGGAGGGAGGGGGATGAGTGGGGAAGCGCCGCGTCTCTGCTCCTCTCCCTCCCTCCCAGAAAGTCCTAAGCACCGCCAAACAGCTGTTTGCTGGCGTGTCCTTTCGTATTGTGGGAGACCCTTCCGCCCTCCCATGCTTTTGGGTTCAGAAATCTTTATGGCTGGTAAGACTCTGGCAGCCTGGCTCTAATGGAACTGTGCTACACAAGAGGTGGCATAGGGCCCAAGAGCTGATGCCGAGACATAAGAACTCTATCTGGATCCCTTTACATGTCTGCATTCTGAAGTCTGGTTGCTTCTGTATGAGGTGCAATTTCTCCCACATACTCAGGACTTTCAGGCATGGAGCACTTCCCTACCTGGATTATCACTTAAGGGTTTAGATTTGGTGCATCTTAGGTCTTGCATTTCAGAAAGCTGCTGTGTGATAGGATCTAGATACAATACAATAGTATGAGGTATGGCTGAAACATGGTATGGTCTTGTAATGCACACAGCTATAGCCTTGTTTGGCAGTACCATGTTGTAACGGGGACGCAAAACACACTAGCTTTCTGCAGTTAGATGGGATCTTAGAGACTGCCTCTCGCCTCATGGTTTTTAACCTGGCAGTTGAGAACAGGTGGGGTGCTTGAGTTGACAATAGCTTGACTTTTGTATATGGAGGCTGGAGTTAGAGCATTCCCCAAGAGGGCCCTCTTGTTTGGAAATTGCTTTTGCTTTCCCCAGGCACACGTCCTCTCCAAAAAGTCTGAGGTGGTTAGACTTATGCAGCATTTCCAAGGCCTAGCTGTTTATTTAGGCTTTTTTTCTCAGGGGTTGTTTGAGGGATTTATTTTATAGTTTGATGTTCTTCATAACCCTAAGGTTAAAAAACAAGCCAAAAAGATTTTTTGGTAGTATTGGGTAGGTGGAATGTCAGGCATTCCCCTCCCCGCCCCCCATTTTAAAAATAAAAAGTGATCTGCAAAGGAGAGAACAAAATGAATCGTTCAAGAGGATGGGTTTAATCAATTAAAATTTTATACCCCAATCCTGCAATAAGATCCATACAGATCAACCCTGGTGTCCGTGCACAGCCCTATTGACTTTTACCCTATTGATTTCAGGTGGGTTCTTCATTCTCATCCTATTGCAGTATTTCAGCCTAGAGTTCTTTTCTAGCAGTTCTTAAAAGTACAGCTTTTATAGAACTTTATGTTCAGCTGGAAAGTTATAAATAGGGAGGAATTGTCCTCTGTTATTTCATTTTTAGTACCTAGGAAGAGACGTTGAAGGCAACCTAAAAATATACAAATTCATTTTAATTTTCTCATCCTCTTGGAAAAGTTTTCAGCCTTTCTTTTGCCTCCCTCTGTTCTTTCTTCAATTGATCCCTGGTATCATACTTGATAGATCAATGGATTCACCATCCATTTCCATTTCTATATTTAAAAAAAGAATGTAAAGGGTCTTGTGATACTACTGTGAAGAGAGTTATATAAAAACAGTTGTACTGTGTAATTCTTTCTTCACTAGGCAGTTATATAAGCAGTATATAATGGGTTAACTTTGGTTTTCGCTCGTTTGGGGATGGATGATATATCACAGTCAACATGTGGCTATGCAATGCACAAACCAACCAATGAAGGCAAATTCTTTATCTAAAATTAGCCCATTGTATAGCCTACATTATAAATATCGTGTCTAGAATATACATGTAGAGTACTGGTACAGAGTGATTCCTAACATTTTCCATTTAGTGCATAAGTGTGTAGTAAATACTCTATACTCTGCAAGGAAATTTTTTGAATGCTTCTGGAAGCAACTGCATGTTTTTTGCAACCAATAAAACAATCAGATATGCCAGAATAAGCAACACCATACAGAAAAAAAAGTTTCTGTACCTTTAATATTTTTGAAAATGTATTTGAACAGGTATTTAATCACTGAAGGGGGGGGGGCATAATAGTTACCTGAAATGTGATACAGAAATTAGAATATTAGAAGCATCTGAACACTGGGATGAGTAATTGCACTGCGGGATTCTGTTATTGTTGGCTAGTGCTATTTCGTGAGTAGATTCTTTCCTGCCCTCCCCCCCCCCCCACCCCATTCTTAATTTTTTTATTGCGTTTTTTCATATTTTAACCTAATAAAATTGCCACTGTGCTATGCAGAATTTCACATCACATACCATTACTACAAAAATGTTTCCAGATTTAAAGCTTTTGTGGCTCCTTAGTGAACGGTAGTCAAAATGAAATGATTTTATCTGAAGCAATGCCGTGTGTATGTTGTCTTAATTCTTTATGGGTGTTCCCTATCTGTAAAACGGGGAAAGTGCCTAAGTTTGAGGACTGTTTTGAGAATTAGTTAATGTTTTTCAAATATAAAGAGCTAATAAATAAAATGTTAAATACTCTTGAAATGGGACCAGACTAGCAAAACAAAATGTGACAGGCAGCATTTTAACATTTCTTATTCTGAAAGTATGTTATATTAAGAACTGCTCTGATGATGATACTTTTTGTTTTTGATAATATAACAAAAATAATTGACTTTATAACAATATTCAGTTTTATATGCTGGAAAATAGACTGCTGCATGATTTGATTAGAGCTAGTTATTTTACAGAATGAAGTATGCAGGGTCATTTCCACTAATCATGCTTTTGTAAGTTCTGTGGAAAGTTATTTATCCAATATTTGAACTATTGAATTTCAATATTGTTCTTTCTTTTATTAGCAGAAGTATTATTTTCAAGTATGTCAACTATAATTTTAATTTTGATAAATATTCAAGTAAATCATGGAAGTTCGGGCTGAAAACATCTGTTAGGTTGTCTAGTCCATCCTCCTTCCAGTGAAGGATTGTTCTGAACAGTATATGTTCCAGTGTGTGTGTGTGTGTGTGTGTGTGTGTGTCTTATGCAGTACACACAGTACAATGAATGCCGTTTTCCTTTAAGAATGTGATTCTAGGTTCAAGACTGCACTGCATACCAAATAAAAATCTCCCACCTACAGAAATCTCCCACCTACTTCCAAATGCAAATTCAGTATGTTCAGTAGCAGCTTGAAGCCCTGCATTGTTTGCTTCCGGAAGTGTGAGCTGAAGAGGACAGACATTCCCTCTGCTCAGCAGGAGCACTAAGCTGTGTTCTGCCCTTGTTGCATTATTAATGGGACAATGTTTTTATATTGCAGATGGCTAAGAGCTAGCAGAGCACATTCAGGACCATGATGGCTCAGTTTCCCACAGCCATGAATGGTAAGTAGCTTGGTCTGGGTTCATTTATGTGGGGTCGGAGAGTGCTTTTTTTGTCTTTATATTTAATATCAATAATATTAGTAATTAACTGATTGCAACATATGCCTCAATGTTTTTGTCAACTTGCTGTAGCATATTTACTGTTGCTTATGACTTTTGATGTATAGTCTATACTCTAGGAATTCAGCACAAGTTTGTACTGTAGTATAATTAAGCGTGCATGTATGCCTGGAGCATCTAGTAATTTTAGTTAATTGAAGGGGTTGTTACATGCCGAAACATGACTGTATTTTGAATACTGAATGACTTCAGATGAGGAATAAACTAAGTAACCATCAATTAACAGAATAGGTATTTGAGTTTGTATAATATGGCATCGGATTTTGATGTTTTAATTTAGATATGGTAAATATTATTTAAACTAAAATATTTCAATTAATTGATTATTCACAGTCATACAGAATGTGCTCAAAATGTGCAGATAAATCTTAAATATTTTCCCTCTTGATTTTACGTTGTTGTCGTGCAAAATAATGCAGAAGCTCATGTTTTTTTCAGTTTCCTTTCAAAGACATACTCCAGATAAAACTTTAAAAGATGCTATGCAACTTCTGACTATGTGTTAGTCAGTTGGATCACTCTGTTTCTAAAGGGAATAGCCTGCCTTAAAGAAACACATTGCTAAATCTGCTGAGAAATTGGAAGTTTTTATGCCATTTTACCTGGTGACTTCATTGCTATAATTGAAGCTACCCAAAAATGAAAAAGAATGGTTAGAGGCAAAACATGCTCTGTCTGCCAAGTGGGGGAAAATCTGACAGTTGGGTAAAAAATCTGCAATTTGTCTGGTTTGTTGTTTGAGTTGATAGCTACCAGAAACTTTCTTATATTTAATTTAGTTATACAGCCATATTATGGATGTTTTCAATAAAATGTGTAAAACCATTATACTGGTGAATAGCAACCATTATGGTGCTATTCACCAACACACTGTTATACTGTAAATGGCAACTGTAGCAGAATCCAGAAATAATGTTTCAGTATTGCTTTAAAAATTAGTATAATAGTAGAAGTTGGAACAAAATAAATCCATGTATTGCATACCTGAATTCTTAGGCAAAACAAGATGAGTACCACATTGTCTTTTTCACTTCATTGGACAGATGGGACAGAAACTTAGTGGAGTCCTGTTTTATTTTTCCTATTGTTGGGCTTTTTTTGTTTTGTTTTTTATTTTTAAAGTGCTGATTCTTTGGCAGTATTCCCCACCCCAAATCCCATGGAAACCGTTCTTGTGATTCAGGGCTAGTTTATCTCCAGTCATTGTCCCCTTGCTGTCCCCTATGGTGAATCTCTGCCTAAAGTTAATGCAGTCTTGTGCTTTGTCTTCACACACCACCCCCATCCCTTCAGTCCACTTGGGCACTGGGAGAAGGCTGTAGGGGGCAGAGAAGCAGCAGTCAGGCACAGAGCCTCTGGATCTCAAAAAATTGCTGGTTTGGAGAGCTGAACAGCTTCTCAATCTGTACCACAGCAAACTTTGCTCCCTCTCCCCTTGCTCTCAAAGGAGGAACAATGCCAACCAAGTAAACTTAAGGAGATTCACCTCAGAGAGTTTGCAGTCTGCTATGTGAAGTCTGTGCCTTTAGTTAAACCACTTCCTTGTGAAACACATCTGAGTGCATGTAGTTATGCATTCATATTGTTTAATCAAAATTAAGTGCAGTTGAAACAAGTTAGGTAGAGAGAGGTTTAAAATCCTACTGAGATTTCATGGTAAACATTGAACAACCTTTTCTGTAGAAACTATTCTGTTTATGTAGTCTGTATTCTTCTTCCCTGTTTTAAAATTACTAATGCTATTTCCATTAAAACAGGATTATCTGCTTCTACCATTTATTCTTCAATTGAAGTAATTTGTATTAAGCAGCTCATCCCAGATGAGTGCCAATAAAATCTCGGTTCCACACAAAAATGGCTGCTATATGAAAATAATTCAGAAGTTTAGATTGTTACAAAAAAAGAACAGGAGTACTTGTGGCACCTTAGAGACTAACAAATTTATTAGAGCATAAGCTTTTGTGGACTAC